GGAAAGGAGTTTTAAGTAGATGTAGTTACAATATACTATTCTAAATTTCTACCTTTTGATTTTTCATGCTACTAGCTCACGAGGTATCTAAATTTGAGATTGTCCTATACTCTAACATTCATATCACCCACTTTAAGGTTAATCTTTTTGCATTCCTCATTCTTTTTGATTCTTTTTTCTTCAGTGGTGGGGACTGAATCCAGTGCCTCATGCATGCTAAGCACATGCTGTACCACTGAGCAACATCCCCATCCCCAGGACTGGGTTTCTAGTTTACCTACATAGTACCCAGCTGATTTTCTTCTTTCTTCCCTGCTATAGGCTATGTTTAGATGTTCACTCAAAGCCTCATGTGGTCATAGGTGGGGCTTTTACAGAGGTGGCAGGATTTAGAGTGTGTGATACTAGAACTGATTCATGGTGCATGCTAGGCTCAAGGGCACTAGGATTGAGGGTGTGAGTGCTTCCTATCCTAAGTAGCCTGGATAAAATAAAAGGGGCAGAAAGATGCTGTTAAAGGTCTCTTGTTGCTTTGCTACTTTCTGCCCACAATGAACTGTTCTTCCTCTGCGATGCGTCTGCCATCACCCTGCCTTAGAGCCAGCTCATTATGGACTGAAACCCCTACAAACTGTGAGCTAAATAAACCTTCCTCCCTTTAACTTTAGGTGTTTGGTATTTTATCTCAGCAATGAGAAAAGTAACTACAAAATCCCTTATTGCCATAAAAGTCATATTCTTTCCCCTAACTCCTCCTTATCAGTGAGTATAGATTTTAAGAACATATGGCATTCCTCTAAGTTGGACACACATGTGTAAACACTGCATTGTTTCTCTGGTGTGAGAAACTGGAGTGTAAATAAGGACCAAAATGTATAATAGGCATTGTGAAATGGGAAGAAAAATGTTCAAATGGGGAGGGGGAAAAGAAAGAAGGGAAAAGTAAAAAAAAAGAGAAAAGAAGGAAAAAATGGAAACAAAGCTTTTGTAAATTGGGAGGGGGGAGGGGATAAAGGTAGGTAGTGGAATGGGGAGAAAACGAAACAAGTTATAACATGGGCAGATACAAATTCTCTATAATGAATGTGATATATATAAAAAATGTACCAGTAAAATCTGATTAAAATATGTGGCAGATGTGGGATTTCTTAAAATTTACATGAATTATACATTTATTTGCTGCAATGCAGTTATTTGCAATTCCCCATCCCTTTTCCTTTAATAGTGTTTTTAAGATGGGAAATACTTGAATTTAATAGGCAACTTAATCTATCAAATATGCGAGTTGTCAAATGCTTAATTATTTACACTGAGCCAGATAGATCCAACTTGAGAAGGAGCCTAAAGTTTCACTAACATTAAATGGGGGTGGAACTTGATTCCAAAGATCTCTTCTGAACCTAAGATTCTACAACAGCTAGTATTTGTATAGTGACTTATCATTCACAAGATGCTTTTCACATTTATTATCACATTTAATCCTTAAAATAATTGTATTGGAATAGGTGAAATTTTTCTCTTTATTTTATAACTGAGAGAATTGAAGTTTAGAGAAGTAAACTCCACAGACACACAACTAATATGTGAAAGGGCCAGGGGTCAAATTCTGTTCTGACAAAATCTCACTCATGCCTTTCTATTTTACAACTTGAACTCCCCAACTGGAGAGACAAAACTCAGTCCATCAGAATGTTGATATTATATTTCACAGGCAGCCTTTTTTCATAAGAAACTAGATTTTTTAATTCTTTACTATTACCAAGCTATTCTCAAACTCATTCTGTAGTTTCTATTCAACACTGAAACATACTTACCAAGGAGACCAGGCTTATAATACTTATATCAAAACTAACATTCTGGATGGCATATGCCAATGGCTTAGGGTCCATACTGGGAAAGGTCAGTAACCACGCAGAAACATACATGATTGGAGCAGACACAAATGTGCTTATTACCATCCCTGAAGTTATCTGCAAAGAGAAGTCCAGTTGAGAAGTCACAATTTCACTTCAACAATTACCTTAAACATTAAATACCCACAACACATTAAGACATTCGAAAATAAAAATGAGTCAGTAAAAACAAAATAGAATCCAGCATATAGTTTAATACTTTACTCCTCTGAGAATCCTTAAAAGAAACCACAGTAAGTTGCCCTTCTCCTTTTCTAATCTATGCTCAATCAATATTTACATATAACAAATATTAAAAATTCAATCACTGATTATGTTCTAGGTTCTAGAAAGTGCTTTTGGCTGACCTAATTAAACTTCTAAACAGTTTCCTTCCATACTGTTTCATAAAATTTAGGGACAAAAACAAAAAGAAAAATGATCAAATATTTTAAAGATTAAATAATGGAACTGATCTTCATTAAATAATCTAATTCCTTCATACTATATTTACAAATTTTCAATGATACAGATAGTTTGAACAATACACTTAGACACTGTTAATGGTTTGGTGATAATTGATTTTTGCTATTTCCTGCTATTGATTATATAGTATTTTACATTTGGTGGTTGAATTATTAATGAAAGTTTTTTTCCCTCAAAATTTGAAAAGTTACACTTCTGTAAATAATTTCTAAGCCTAAATACAGTTGCAAAAACAAAATACTTAAAACTTTAAAAAAACTAATGCAGCATGGAAGAATAAAGATCCCAGATTAAATAACTATTGTTATATAATGTTACATAATATCTTATTTACAACAGCAAGGTTGCTTAGCGTATCAGATTTTCATAGAAAGAATGTTGCTTTCTGTGTTTAAAATTTTCATTTTCCTATTAACCACCGAAACAGTCAAACTTAGAAGCAGTGTATACGTACAATCTCTACTTCCATGTTGAACTGTGTTGCAAAGATAGCCACGCCTGGTGCTACAGGAAAGACGCCATATAAAAATGCATAGTTTGATAAACTTGTATGGTTCACTACACTGTCACCCTTGTCCAAGAGTTCCACCATTTCTCTGCACAGAAGCGGCAGCACCAGGCTGAAGGAAGAAGAAATGCATAATTTACTTGATATCAAAACATGCCTGTCATGTTCTCCATTAATATGTGGAATTTAAAAAGATGAAACGAAAGAAGAAAGACTATTATTAGACAGGAAGGGAACAAGGGGGAGGGAAAGGGGGTATAAGGAAGATTAATGGGATGAACAGGATCAAAATATATGCATTGAAGCCAAATATTTTGTAAAATTAATAAAAATATAATCTATATAAAAGCATAAATACTATACTTCAGTATTATAATGGTAAAATCCCTTTTTTCTGTATTATTATATAACATATTACAATAAACATGAAAAAAATTGCTTGTCCCTAAACAGTACATTGCTCTAGTGAACTCAGCATTGTTATTTTTTCATTTGCCCAGAAGCTGTATGCACTCATAGGCGTTGTGAACAATTTTTTAGAAACAACCAAGAATTTAGCATGGGGGCCTTTCAAGTATAACAATATTCTGGAAATATATGAAACATCAGGGATCATGTGGGGGAAAGTAGTTTTGTTGTTGTTGTTGTTCCACAAACTATTTTTCTTGCAAAAAGCTGAGCCAGGCATGGTGGTTCGTGCCTACATTTCCAGCGCTCTAGGAGACTGAAACAGGAGGATTTCAAGTTCAAGCCCACATGGGCAAATTTGTGACTCTGAGAGACCCTGTCTCAAAATGAAAAAGCAGGGTTGGGAAAGTAGCTCAGTGCAATGGCCCAGTACAGCTATAAAAAGAAAAAGGGTGTAAGTTGTAATCACAGCTGCTTTCTTGCTTCCTCTATTGGTTCACTGAAACGTTAAAAGAAAAAATTTGACAATGTAAGAACTTTTTAAAGAAAACTGTTGAACATCTTATAATTTTTACTTTGATTCAGTTAATAACAATGGTTCAGTTAATAACAATATGGCTCAATAAAATTGTGAAAACCAGTAGAAAAAACAGGTCTTATAATTGATTATCTTTGTTAAAAAAAAAAAAAAGGTTTAGCAAAGGGAACTGGAACAACAAAGGTGGAACAGAGAGTTAGTGAAGATCTGGTTAAGAGCCATTTATTAGACAAATTACTCAGAATTCCATAGAAAAAGTATGACATCAGGAGCTAAGCTAATGCAGCCCATCTTTAAAATATCCAGATAGCTGGGCATGGTGGCTCACGCCTGTAATCCCAGCAGTAGGGAGGCTGAAGCAGGAGGATCACTGTGTGTTTGAGGCTAGCCTGGACTATATAGTGGGACTTTGTCTCAAAAATCAAAAACAAAATCAAAAACTCAAAAACCAAAGCCAAAACTAAGTATCTAATAAGCAATAAAGACTCAAAAAATTTTGAACAACTAATTGTGTTTGCAAGTCGAAGTTGATAATACCATTATTGTTAGAACTGTATTACCTAGGCAATAGCAATTAATACTTTGTTTCTGAGGAGCAGAACAGCATCACAAATAATTTTCAGAACTCATAGTTTTATTTATTTTGGAAATACAAATAGATATCATAATGCATAAGGTACCATGAATTTTCCTATACAAGTGATGAATTCCATAGGGAAGTATCCCTCAAGTACTACGGATTAATACCACAGTAAAATTATGTCACCTGCACTAGGAAGTAAATCCTCAGGGCTAAGGAGCCAAGTAAGCTGCAGAACTATTCACTAAGGAGCTAAAAAGAACTTGTGGAGATGTTAGGATCAGATGTCTAATAATGTTCATATTGACTTACCTGTATTTGGGAAGTTCAACCAAAGTCAAAGCTGTAAAATATTTTCCCCAAACCCATGAAAAAGATAGTTTATACAAAAAGTATTTTTCTCAAGTATTTCTCTTTCAAATACTCCTTACCCTCCAGAGTGTCTCTCTCTCTCCTTTTTCCCACCTTCAAATAAATCATTTGCTTTTATTTTAAAAAATAAAATAGTATAAACAGTATTCTTCTCATATGACTAAGGTTTTTTTTTACTTTAGGGTCTTATGGACTTAAATATACTTCAAAATTCCTTTAAAATGTGATCTAAATAGGACATTAGAAAGATAATAAACTCTGTATAAAAACTGGGTAAAAAAAGGAAAAAAAAGTGAAGGAGAACTGATGGCCTTTATCCTCTGATGATAAAACAAAATTACTTACATGGGATAAAGAAATGATTTTCTATAAACACCAACATCTCATGTTCCTATAAATCATAACTAACCTATAAGAAAGGACTAATATTCAAAGAAAGAAAAGAGTTGCACACACCCCTGAGTTGGGTAAACAAGGGTTTTACAAACTACAATTCTTGTGCTAAATAATCAAAACTTACAGTTTAGCTGTGATGAGAAGAATCAGTACAACAAACGCTGACTTCTTCAGTCTCTTTATTTTTCCTACCATTGTAAGGCCAAGATAAAACAGGGCGGATCCAGAAAAAGAATTTCCAAGTCCATCGAGAAAATTTTCCATATATACAGGCACCTTTTTATCAAGGATAAAATTAAAGGCAATACCAATGAAGACCATAAATACTATTGGGTTCTGTAACACACGCAGAAATCCAAGTCCCACAATTTTTATTTTGTTTTGCGAAGCATTTTGGGTGTCTTTCCACTTCTGGATTTCACAGAAGATAAACCCTATAGGGTTTAACATCATAAGAGATATTGGTGCCACCAAATATATGTACTGAAGATATTCTGGGTATGTAGTTTGATATAAAGCTTCAACTGTAAAACAAGAATATTGATTTTAAAATAATTACCATACAAATATAAAATATGTACGGAACATTTTTCAATGCTTAATTAAAACACACTCCAAATTAATCTAAAGAGTACCAAATAAATGTATCAGCCTAGTTTTGGAACAGTAAATTTTAGTGATGAAGCTGGAAAGGAAGAATAATTTTTTTAAAAGATCATTTTTTAGTGCCAGTTCCTCTCTTTTTTTTTTTTTGTCTTTTTGAGACAGGGTCTTGCTATGCAGTTCAGGCTGGCCTTAAGCTCACTTTGCAGCCCAGACTGGTCTCAAACTCAAAACAATCCTCCTGCCTCAGCCTCCTGAGTGCTAGGATTACAGGCATGTGCCACTACGCCAAGGAAGAAGAATTTACTATACAAAGTATCTACTTTATAAAACAATAATTAACTTTAAAATTACTTGTAGTATAACCTAAATAATTTTTACTGCCTAAGGGCTAAGAGTCATCTCTAAAAAAGGACAGAATTGTAAAGTTTTTAAAAGGAACAATTCAAAGTTAAAAACAAATCTGCTCATGACCTAGATTTTTAAGTAGTAATAGCAGCAAGATAGACGTTTGTACCCACAGAGAGGCAGCCTCAGGGGAGTGGTAAGGCAGGAGTCAGATGCCAGGGGACTGAGGAGAGAGGAGAAAGAAGGAACTAAGAATGAGCGCTGGAGTGACACAGCCCACACTGTACAGGAAAGATGCGAAGCAGGGCGATGACAGGAAGTAAGACGGTCAGAGACTGGAGGTCCCTGTGAAATCCCAGAATGAAGTGCAGTTGGAGTCTGGAGTAAGTCAGATAGTGAACTGCTGAATTTAATATCTCACAGATGATTAGATCTAGGATGTACCCATAGGAGTCATGGCTGAAAGGAAATAAAGACGTCATGGGAAATGAGGAGGCCAAGGAACCAAGAGGGCAGAGACTTTGACGGGTAGTTCCCAAGGGTGCTAAAATCAAATGAGAGAATGGCAAAACTGGAAAGAAATATGACAAGAGAGCTGACATTAAAGTCTTCAGTGAAAGGGGAAATGTCTAGGTGACAGCAGTGAGGAGCAGCAGACTCATCAGACAGCACGACTTTCAAAATAGTTGTTCAAACCAGAGCGGAGAGTAATGGCCTAGCAGTAGCTATGAGGACAAGAATTGCAGCCCCACCTACTTCCGCTCCTGTAGTATCTAGGATATGGGAACATGCGTAACTTCCATTTGACAGGGATGGTGAGAAGTGGATATCTTCAGGGAAGACTAGGAAAGGTGCTAAAGAAACAGGCATAGAAAGTTGGGATCTAGAAAATGCTTGGGAGGGGAATAGAGTGGAATCTCATAAATGTATATTTAACTAATGCAAATTCAAGTACAACTTCTTAGACAAGAAAAAATGAGTAGAAGGAAAAGAGGAAATAAAGCTTTTATAAATAAAGAAAGGAAGAGGGGTTGAAGGGAGGGAAGGGGGATGGCGGAAAAAAGAAATAGCAAGATATATCATGGTACTGGTACAAACTCCCTATGATGAATGTTATCATTATGTATACCTAAAATGTACCAATAAAATAAAAAAGAAAAAAAAGAAAACCAACAAAAACCAAATACACTTTCTTAGGAAAACAGAAGCCTCATTTTCTTTCTCATATACCAAGTTCCCAAGTACAAACTAAGCCAGACGTGGTGGTGCAAACTTATCCTAGCACTCGAGAGGCGGAGGCAGGAGAATCGCATTGAGGCCAGGCTAGGCTACATAGTGAGTTCAAGGTCACCCTGAATGACACAGTGAGACCCTGTCTCAAAACAAAATATGTACAAACTAATTATTTCATATGTTGACAGAAGAAATGCTCAAGAAAAAAAGCAGGCTGTGTTAAGTATATCAGAAATGGTCTAATACCAAGTATATGTGCTATTGTTTGTGGGTGACTTAAAAGAGTTTTTTTTTGTGTTTGAATATACTTGATGACTCTAGAATTGAATCACTGCATAAGATGTTTCCTAGGAAGAAGGTAAGTGGGTTGGATCAGACTTCTAGCAGTTACCTGGAGGAGGTAAGGGTTGGTGGCCTGGTCTGTGTTTGATCAGGGTAACCTAGAGATGGGGATTAAACAACTCCGTTTCTGAGCACATTTTGGGCAATGAGTTCCCATATTATCCAATCTAAAGCACTTTATTTGAAGTTGAACTGGAAAGATAAAAAGTGAACAGCTACAATCACAAGGAGAGATGCAATCTTGTGAAAAAATGTAAAGATTAAGTTTCTCAATTTACATTAAGATAGAGTGACACAGGAAAATATATTTGTTTACCTACTCAGGATACGTTAAGTTCAGCTAATGTTGTGCACAATGACTGTTAGTTAAAGTTATGTAAGTGGATTACATAACCTTTAGAATTTCACCTTGATCTCAGTTAAAACCCACTTAAAGATTTAATTCCTTTTTTTTTCCAACCAAGCATATACAGAGGTCTGTAATATCTCCAAATGAGAGGTTAAAACACTTCATTACATAAAATTTCATAAATTCCTTTCACTGATTTCTAAATTAGATAGCCTAGCTTTACAGTTCTTCATGGTTTTCTTTCATGTTTCATAAGGTTTCACATTCTAAGTGAAACAAAGCACTTTTGATATCTATTCCTATAAAGCTACACTTTTTATTAGATAATCCATTTTGAAGAGAAAGGTGCCCATACCTGACCAGCACTCAATTTTTAAATAGAGTAGAACAAGAACATTTTGGAAATGTCTTGAGTTTTCAATCTTAGTATAAGAGTATTAAGAGATCTGATTTAGCAGTCACAATACAATGCAAAGATGTTTCCTTCGACAATTTACAGCTATACTTCCATAATCTACCCAAAGCCTCATCTTTTAATTTCCTTTTCTGGAAATTTACTTTCCTAGCACATTAGTAATCACAACATAATGAGTTCTGATTGTTTTAAGAGCTTAAGGGCTTGGCATGGCGGCACATGCCTATAATCCCAGCACTGAGGGAGGCTGAGGCAGGAGGATTGCAAATTTGAGTCCTGCCTAGGCAATTTAGCAAGACTGTATCTCAAAAGAAAAAAAAAGGCTGAGGATGCAGCTCTGTGGTAGAGCCTCTGGGTTCAATTTCTAGTACTATAAAATAGATAAGTAGATAGATAATACACAGATAGACCGAGGACAGATAGATAAAAATTAAAATTAAATTAAGAGCTTAATGCAAATTTGAGCTCCTGCTTTTATTACCTACAGCTGGCAAGTCATCAAATACAGTATGAACCCTTATCCTGTGTTTTAGTTTTCTGCAGGGTCAGTTACCCAAAGGCCGTCACAAGGGAGAATATAGTAAAATGATATTTTGAAAGAAAAGGAAAAACATGTCCATAACTTTTACTATAGTACAGTTGTTCTACTTTATGCTATTGTTGTTAATATCTCACTGTGCCTAATTTATGAACTAAACTTTATCTTCAGTATGTAAAGATAAAACAGCATATACAGGGTCCATTACTAGCAGTGGCTTTAGGGTTCTATTAGAGGCCTTGGAACATACTTCCAGCAGATAAAGGGAATGAACGGCTCTACCTACTTTCTTCTTTTGCAGGATCTTTTGAATTCTTTCCTCTTGATTTCTACTAGTTAAAAGTCTCAAAATTAGATTACTATATTTACTAGCATTTTTTTTTTGAGGTTTCTCAACTATTTCCTCCTTCCACTTTGTTCACTGCTGGCAAATCATAACAGTAAGTACCAAAAATAAAAAAAATGAAATGTTACCCTTTTCTCTCAGTTCTCACCACCCATAGGGGTAGCTACAAAATCTTTTCATTGGCATATACAGTCTGGTCTCAAGAACTGGTCTCTTGTTTATCCAAACCATCTCTCACTTTTCCATGATGCAAAGGTTCCATCAGCCAGCTTAGTATCATAGTTACACCAAACACCATGTTCATAATTAGTAGCTCTGATCGCACCATTACCTTCTAACCTCTTGAAATCTTTGCTTTCTTACCTGAATCTTGCCTGCTGTTTAAGGCCAAGCTCTCGTAGTATTTCTATGAATTGCCAGGGTACTTTGTTCCAAATCAGTGCCCCCTCGACAAACCCTAAGTTCCCTGAAGGCATCATTTTATGACCAGTCCCAGGCACAGTGCTGAGTGAATCTGAAATACTTGCTAAACGGAATTAACTAACACGTAGTGAATACCAAAGGTTTCAGATGTAGTAAAACTATATTTTGTAACACACAGAAATTGATATCTAATTATCAATGAATTTTCAAGATCCATTTAAACTCCTTTGCTTTTATAATTAATTTATATTTAATTGACAAAATCATATATATTTATCATGTACATGCTGTTTTGAAATATCTACACAGTATAGAATGCCCAAATTATGCTAATCAACATACGTATTTCCTCACTTATTTTTTTGTGATGAGAATACCTATAATCTAATCTTAGCAATTTTCAAGAATACAATAGATATAGTGACTCTGTCTCAAAAAAAAAAAAAAAATACATTGTTAACTGTAGTCACCATGTCATAGAATAGATCTTTTGAACTTATGCCTCCTAACCGAAAATTGTATCTTTTTGTTTTTTGTTTTTTGGGTTTTTCTTTGTCTTTTTGAGACAGGGTCTCGCTCTGCAGTTCAGGCTGGCCTTGCGCTCACTTTGTAGTCCAGACTGGTCTTGAACTCGCAATGATCCTCCTGTCTCGGCCTTCTGAGTGCTAGGATTACAGGCGTGTGCCACCATGCCCAGTGAAAATTGTCTTTTTAAACTTTTTGCACAGTCTGAATATTTATAAAGCAGATTAGAACTGGGGTCTTTTAACTTAGTGGAACAAATACATAAAGCAAAGGAAGTATACTCTAGTGGGAGAGCTAATAATTGTGATTAAATAAATACTTGTAAATTACTAGAATAGGGCTCAACATGGGAATTTTAGTCTCTTTCTGCCATTCATTTGCATAATTACTTAACATTACATCTTTATCTATAAATTGGCAGTGCTTTTCTTTTATTATAAATCGAAAGATTTCTTTTCAACTCTAAAAGGAAAATACATATGAATACAGTGACCTACAGTAACTAAAATTAGATTTATAGTCATTATACCAACTATTAAGTTCTAATTAATTAATGCTTATAAATAAGGCTCTTGGAGGGAGGGGGAATCCCATTATGAGGAGTTATATAGCTCTGAAGAACTAAGAGATAAAATTAGCCACCTACTGTGGCTCCTATTTTGATTCCTGCAGGGTTTCAATCTTTAGCAAATAACACAAAGACCCCGATAAGATGATTCTATTATTTAATGGCATATAGTTAAATGCTTCATTTCCTTTCTGTTTACAGCTCAAGCACTAGAGCATAATTATGATTAGTCAGGGTACTTATGCTATCAGCATTGTTTGAAGAATAAATTATAGGACTAACTATGCCCTATTAGTATCTTTTAATGACAGAGGCAGGGAACCATTCTGATTTGCTGAAATCAACATTCCAGCTAGGTAATTCTTGGTTTCTTCTTGCACTTGGATTTTTAAAGTACCTTTGAAAAGAAGTGTTCTTAAAAATAGTAATCTTTTTTTTAAATCTGTAATAGTGCACCGTTCTGTTGCTTGAGTAAAGATAAATCACTTTAATGTAATTTTATAGATCATAATTGCCACAGTATACAGAAGAAACATGACTGTCCCTTTCTTTATTAAAATATCTACCTTCTTGCCAGCATTTCCTGAGTCACTTGTAAATTGAAAGATGTAAAACAAATCCTATCTTAACAAGAATACTTCTTATAACCCACAACGAAGCTCCTCTGTGAGCAAGAGAATGGGAATTTCTGGAAAGGGCTGCAAAACAAACAGAAAAGGGTTCTCTTGGGAGACACTCTTTCTGTTCACTCTGCACAAGGCCAGAAGGCAGATGGGCACAGACTGCAACAATAAATAACCTCACCAGGGAGCAGCCACACAGCCATACAGTTCTGTGCCATACCTTTCAATCTGCAGGCATATGAGAAAGCTGTCTATATTACTGATTCTTAGTGAAGTTGAAGTTTGTAACCTAATGTTATAAGAGTTATTATCTGTGAATAAAGACAAAAAAATTATGACTCAAAATTGGTAAACATACTCACCAGGGATATTTGAGCTAGCATACTGTTAGGAACATGATTATTACCAGATTCACTGACTTTCTGTGGGACATAAGGAAAGTGGTGATGAAAATGGCTGATTGTATTTTTTATTTGGAAACTCTACCTTACTATGAAAATTAACTCATCTAATAGGGTTTTGCTCTCTACTATTGCTTATTTTATGGAATATTTTTAGAATACTATAAGGACAAAAATTTTGATTCTGTGTGAAACTATTATAAGGACTGGTTGATCTCCTAAGATTAATTTGCCACGTTATATAATTGTGTGGCATAAGAATACTTAGGATTTAGAACTGGAAAATCTAGATTTCCATCTCAGTCACCTGTTACCTGTGTGACCTGGGATAAAAGAATCTTTGCAAGCCTGTCTGCTATTGGAAAATGAGAATAATGATCCTTGGTTTTTTTTTTTTTTGGTACAGGGAATCGAAGTTACAACCTCACGCTTGCCAGGCAGGCGCTTGTGCTGCCGAGTTATATCCCCAGCCCGAGAATAATGATCCTGCCCTATTTAAATAAGTATAAGAAAGTACTCTGTAAGCTATAAAGTTACAAATGTTAGTTCTATTTAGCATACACACTTACTAATGAATGATAGCATGAAACTATATACTTCTAGCTCGTGTCTGATGAGATAGCAATATTTAACATTATGGTTCTAACTCACTCCTATAGTCCTTATGTCACAAATACATTGATCACACATTATTAATTTTCCTGAGGAAATGGACAAATACATTAAATCCTTTCTCTTTCACTTGCAAGCATCTTTATTTAATTTTAAAATTAAGCAACCTTAAAGAACACTTAATTTCTTATTATTTATACTTCAGTTACCTAAGAGCTTAGTTTTTGTCTCTCTTTAAGCTTTTTGCTTTATTAATAGTTATTTGATTTCTTTGGTATTTTTCTATTCTGGTAAGCAAGACAGAGGAAAGTTAAAGGTGGAAAAAGGTGAAAAGTATACTTCACTAGAAACTTTTTGATGTCAATGGTGAAATAAGTTGGGAGTGGGAGGACAGGTTAAAACTACTGGAAAAGAAACTTGAAAGTTAATGATAGATTTCAATCATACACTTTAACATTCTAGCCTCTGCTCAGAAGACATACAATCAGAGAAGTCTGAACTGACCACCCTACCTCAAATAACATTTCCTCATTCCTGCTCCTCTACAATATTTGTTTGCATGGTTCTTGCTAGCAGCTGGTATGATTTTAATATTATTACTTCTTTCCCATTAAAGTGTTAATTTAGTATAATCAAGAACTTCATTCATGGATATATTCCCAGCAGCTGCTACATTCACTTGCATGTAATAATTCCCTAAGAGCGAACGAATGAGTGAATGAATAAATAAACCCATAATAGTCAGCTCGCCACATTGATACACGATCAAAATGTACATAACTTTAATTTTAAAATGATTTTTAAAAAGTTACTAGTGTACATTTTCTCAGTAAAAATGATGGGAAAAATAAGTTTCAAGATATCCCAGCATGCTAAGTTTGTATGTTTACTGTTTTATGAGGAAAACATGTGCAAGCATAAACAAAATTAGGCTGCTTACAGAGCTGGAAAGGTAAAATGCCCTTACCATTTTTGTTTTTAAGAATTTGAGTTCAAAATACATTAAAAGTTTGAATAACCAGCTCAGAAACAATTTTTAATGTAAAAAATACATATTCTAGATAGTAAGGAAAATAAAGGAGACAAAAATCACTCATAAAGTCTCACTGCTAACATTTACTAATGATTATTTTTATATATACATAGTTTGTACCTTTTTACATAATTTAAATAAAAATCTGATCCCTTCTGAAAATTAAATTTCTTTCATATGTGATTGAGAAGAAATAAAATACTCTTTGCAAATAAAATAATTCACAAAGGTAACTAGGCTATAACCACTTGATAGATGTTTGAAGGATCACTAAACTCTTAAGTTGAAGATATATTTAAGAAAAACAAAGATGAAAGGTTTTTACAAGAATAATAATCTGCCACTAAGAAATGCTTAAATAAAAGCATGTATTTGTTACCTCTTAAAACGTTTCAATTTTTAAAATACCGAACAATAAAAAATAACTTACCTATAGGGTATCCCAATGCAAAGTCATTACTTTGAGTAGCAAAAATAGGGAACAGTCCAGCTTTGCTAAATCGACTATCAGGACTGGCGACCAATAAGGTTAGTACACAGACAATGCAAAATACAGAAGCTTTGCCAATTAAGATGCTGTATAGGAAAGCCCAGTCCACATTGGAGAAATTAAGTACCACCATGTTTTTGAATAACAGAGCTGGAAGTGCAAATCTGGAGACAAAATTTCCCAGTCCTTTGGCCTGTGTCGATGTTATGACATTGGCCCTTCCTGCTACGTAGCCACAAAGAACTATGCCAAAGCATTCTAATAAGGCTGGAAAAAGCCTTGTTATTGACATTGAAGGTGAGTCTTTAGTGGAATTAAATCCATGTGTTACTGTTGTGGACAAAGTCTCAGACATATTGAATGTATTGGCTGAATTCTCTGCAGGTGAGTTGGAAAAAGAATCCATTTCCTCCCTTTTCAACTCCAACTGGATCTCTGCAAAGAAAAGAAGAGTCAGTGTGACAGTAAGAAGAGTTCTAGTTGAAACACTGCAAACCTAGACTAATTTACTTATTAAATGGCTAAATAAAGATACTTTCTTCAGCTACCACCAGGGGAAAAAAATAATGGAAAAAAAATAGTAGGGGGCTTGCTAACAATAATCTCTTTACTCTCAAAGGTAGGCCAGCTCAAAATATTTGCATTGCTATTCTACATTCAGTATAAGATGTGGGTAAAAGAAGATCCAGAAATATTATGGCCACAGTGATGCCCTGTGGTTCTCTCCAGTGATCCACAATTATGCTCTGTGTAGTGGATAAGAGCATGGGGCCCACAAAGTCTCTGCTGAATGCCTACTGCATCTAGATTCTCTGGAAAGATGTCATCAGAATACATCAGAGTCACTTTGGAAACAGGGGATCCCTTCCAGCCTTTGATCATACTTGAGTATAAAGAAAAATATAGCAGAGTATCACTTACCAAATTTGATACAACTAACTTTTCTATGCCTTGTGTCATCTATGAAATGGCAATAACGGTACTTATCTCATAGAAACTTGAGGTTATTCAAGTAAAGGCCTTGGAATTACATCAGCACACAGTGATCACTTAACCAAAGCTAAATACAACTTTTAGTAGTTTGAGAAAGAGAGCACAATGGCATTAGTTGCTTTCAGATCAGCACACACAGTGGCCTGATACCCACAGGGACTTTACACATGCAGCTCACTCTAAAATGTTCTTACCCACCCATCTGCCACTCTACACAATTAATAACTACTCATCCTTTTAACCACGTAGTTCAGTCATTTTATCAGGTAAGGCTTCTCAAATCCCTTTGTCAGGCTCAAACAGAACCAAAATGGCCACTATTTCTCAACTTGTAATTATACTGTGCATTACAGTGACCATTTGATTTACATCTGTCTCCATCATTAGACTTTAAATGTCACAGAAGCATCCGTTATGTATGTTTATGCTTACTGTTGTGTCCCTAACATCTAGCGTAATATTTAGCACAGAGAGGCACTGAAAAAAATTAAATGAATCACTTAAGTAATAACTTACAAATAAACCCCTATCCTTTCATGGATGAATGTTTCCTTTTAGGCATTTTCTAGTTCACGGACCAGTTTTTGTCCCTGAATGATATTCTAAATTTTTCGTTATAGCAACAGGCTGAAGAGCACAAAATGTGTCCTAAAATGTTCTAAAGATGTTCACTGATTGTTAAAGAACACAAAATATGTTGTAAAATGTTCTGATGTTCAGAAAAAGCTAAACCAAGGAACAAATTCTGTATGTTAATGATGACAAAAATTATCAGATTCCCTTCTCATTGCAAGACACACAATGAATATGAGGTTTGAGCAACTCTGAAAGTAATCAACTTTTATTAGTAACTTAAAATTCATATACAACAATTGCCAGTTTCTTAGTGATTATTCTCAGTTTACCATCTATGTGGTTTTATAGAAAGTAGAAAGTAAAAAAGATTATACTTCCTGAAATCTATAATGCCCTGGTTAAATTCTCAAAACACCCATATCACATTAAGTTCGCAAAACACCTACATCCAGTGGCTGGCTACAGATCACTGACTGGTACAGGGAGGCATGTAAGAGTCTTCACTATGCTACCCTGGTATAAACCAAACCACTTAAAAATCTTACAAGTAATCTGGAGTAGGACAAGTATTTTTCTACCAGAATTGGATTGCAGTGATTACTGTAAACAAAACCTACAATACTCACATACCTGAAGCTTACCAAATAAGCATCAAATTATATCCTGGGAAAGCTATTGGTTGGTACTAATACCTATACTTGAAGGAGCCGTTAAGTGATTAAACAAAGGTGTTAAACATTTGGAGCCCTTAAGAAATGTGGCCTTGGAAAGGCAGTGGTAAAGAAGTAGGTGTAAGCTGGGCATAGTGGAACGCACCTGTAATCCCTGCACGAGGGAGGCTGAGGCAGGATCACTGTGAGTTTGAGGCCAGCCTGGACTGTATAGTGAGATTCTGTCTCCAAAAAGAAAAAAAAAAAAAAAGGGTGATAAACTAGTCTAGCCTTCTGATGTCTTTTAACCAACAGTTTTAATTAAATTAGCAATAAATCAGTGAAGAGAATAACAGACTCTAGGTCTTAATGCTTATCAACTCCTTGGGTTAGTTTATTGTCCTTTTTCCTCAGCCATAAAATTAGAATAGAAATCTCCTTACACTAACCAGGGGCAATTTAGAGACTTAGTAAGTTCCTATCTCAAAAAAAATAAAACAAAACAAAAGAGCAGGGGAAGGTGGCGTGGTAGTGCATGCCCCAGAAGTCAGGCAGGAGGATCACCATGAGTTCAAGGCCAGCCTGGGCTACACACTGAATTTAAGGCCAGCCTGTACTTTATAGTGAGACCCTGTCTCAAAAAACCAAAACAAAACAAAAATCCGGGGGTTCAACCACCCAATACTGCAAAACAAACAGACAAAACAACAAAAACTTCCTTACAGCGAGACTGTGTGGATAAGACATGCGTAGCATATCACAAATATGCCTTCAAGAAATAGCAATTGCTATTAGAAGTTGTAGTTCTAATAATGGTAAGAATGGTACCGGAGTAAATAAAATCCATTGTCTTCCCACTTAAATGGACAAGATGTACTACAAAGTTTTCAATGTCCGTTTTATAACAAAACAGAAGTTGATCTTAACTTAGTTGGCCCTAAAATACTTAACAGGGAAGGGAGAGCTCTTTTCTCCAGGTGATAATCAAATAGCTGTAGTAATGCCCAGGTTTAACATTCAATTAATTGCAAATTATAAGTATCTGTTAGTGTTTTTCAGTATTATAAAAGAAACATCTGCTAAGTGAAGGAACGTCAAAGTCATCAAAACAAAACTTACAACTTTTATCTCATCCTAGTCTATTTTAAACACAAATATGCTTCCTAAAGCATATTTTAAAATGAACGGGAACCACAGCAGGGAAGTTTAAAAAACTTACATCTAATCATTTCATCTTTAAAAACAAGGCATCTTACAGAACAAACAAGTCGACCCATCACAGTAAATAACCGTTCTCCGGTGCAGACTGGAGAAACGATACTATACAAACCACATCTGGCCACTTCACATTGGACTTAGATCATATCAACAAACAACTGAAAGCGTCAACAACTGCTGTTACTAAGTGAAAACGGGTGGATGTTAAACTTTCAAGAGAAAAGTGTGAAACTCTTACGACTGTCCATTTGTCAAAGCATCGTCTTTTTTCTCCCGTGGGAAAAGCCTAATACAGCGTGGCACTGTGAAAGCACTCACCCTTCTAGGTCAACATCCACTCCCGGCTATGTGCAGGGGACCCTGCGTCCCCCAGGGACTCGTAGGGGGAGCGCTGAGCACTGCCTTCTTCCCTTGTCCACAGCAGGCGCAGACTGATCCTCCGAGCGCCCCTAAAGAAATGGATCGCGGGAGCGCGGCTGCCACCTGACGCCTGGGAAGGCAGCCCAGTCAGTGGGAAAGGCAGCCTGGGGTAAGGGAAAGGGGTCCGCTCAGCTTCTCGGGCACGGGAGACACAGGGTCACGGTAACTCAGGCTCCAAAAAGGGGCCCGGGCAGACTGGGCGCAAGGCTCCAGGTACCAGAGCAGAAGCCCTCGGGAGGGGCAGATACAGAGGCCGCCTTGGGGTGAAGCGAAGAGCTGGGCGATGACAGGGTGGACGCACGTGCAGCCAGGCGCTGCCCTGGAGTGACAGCCCGGGCCCGGCGGGCCGAGCCTCCCAGGTGGTCCCCGCGTCCCGAAGGCGGGCGCTGCGGGCAGGGACGGCTGCGGTGCGGGGCTCGGGGCGCGGGCGCTGCCCACCTGCCGGACCCGAGGGCAGGGGCACCGGTGCCCGTCGGGCCGAGACGGGACGGGCAGGTCCGCCCCCGGGGGCCTAGCTCACCTGCCTCGTCTGCAGCCCCGGGGCCGCGAGGAGAAAGAAGGGAGTCGGTGCTCGCCGGGAGCTGAGCAGCGAGGAAATCACCGTCATTTCCCGCCCCCAGCCCCCTCAGCAGAACACAGCCGGGCGCCGGCTGCGGCAGCTCAGTCACGTTCCGAGAAAGCGAGGGGGGGTAAATCCGCGGCGGCCCCGGCAGCTCCTCCCCGCCCCGCCCTCAGGCCCCGCCCCCGGCCCCGCCCCCGGCCTAGAGTTTTCCGTCAAGGGCTCTGCGCCGCCTCCACGTTCCGCCCCTAACCTCAACCCCCTCAGCCCCCTCCCCTCGTGGGCCCCGCCCCTAGCCTCGAGACCGCACCCAGGTCCCGTTCCCCAGCCCTGCGCGACACAGCCCGCGCCCCGCCCCGTGGCCCCGCCCCCAGCTGGGAGCCTCGATGCCACTCCTTGCCCTACCCCGCCTCCAGGGCCCGCCCCCAGCTGCCCCGCCGCGAGCCTCCAGCTGCGGGATTTCCGGCCCCCTCCTCCCGCAAGATGGCGGCCGCCGCAGGGGTTCGCGGGCTGGCTGGCCTTCCTCTCCTTTCCTTAAGGCACACTGCTGGCTCTTCGTTCTGACCAGTCTCGGCTTCGTGTCATCCGCCAATTCCGCTCTTGGCTAGCCTAGGCTTTTCGTAGTAGAGTATAACACCAAGGATTTAGAACCAAGGCTGGGTCGAAATCTTCCTTCTTTCCCAAAGCAGTGTGACCTTGACCTTACTGAGTCAAAAGCCATTAAAATGTAACCCTGTGCTTGGTTTAGACTAAGGTCCTGGTCGGTGACTGCTCATTTCTCTTGTGGAAACATGGGCATATTCCCTCAATATACTGTACATGTTTTGTGGAAGACTTCCTGAGTTTCGTGAGGTACAAGTCCTAGATATATGCTGCACTTTGAAAACTGCAGAAGCGCTGTAATTGAGTTAGCCTTTCGGAATGAAAAGAGTTTCAATTTTTAAAATATTTATAATCAAATCCTGCTTAATATCTCCACAACCATTTTTTTTTTTTAATGGTTTACATCTTTAACTGTTCTGATTGTCAGCTTCAGTGTCTTCTTATCATCTTGGAAATTCCGGGGCAAAGGTAAACCATATGGCTTACTGTAATGGTTGATGCATTGTGCCAACTTGAGAAGTCTAGAAGCTTAAGTAAGTAACTCAGCAGTTCTACATCCTGGGACGTGGAGGATATGCCCGTACCACTCTAGGTTCCTTGTGTCAGCTTGAGAAGTTTAAAAGTTTAGGTGATTCAGCTGGGGACCAGGGTGCTTACTTTGTAAACATCCTCAGCTTGTGCAAGAGGAGGGCATGGAGATGGTGTGAGTGCTACACCTGTGTGTGTGCGGGGGGGATTCTGCTTATAATATAAGGGAGGAAAAGAGGCTTGCTCACCTCCTCCTTTTGCTCTTGCTGCTTTTGCTGTCTTCTGCCTCCTTGAAGTGTTGCTCCTGTGCCATACCACCCTGCCTTGGAGCCAGCTGATTACTGTTTGGAACCTCCACAAACTGTGGGTTAAATAAACTTTCCCTTCCTTAACTTTGGGTGTCGGGTATTTTGTCTCAGCAACAAGAGAAAAGTAACCAAGACTCTTACTAAGGAAAATCACAAGCTATGAAAAGTTAAAGGATGTGAAATTTAGCAAGAGAAAATGAACAAAGTTAAAACTATAGAAAAGGAATGTACCCTGCACCTGCACTCTTCTTTTTTGTTCATTCTTTGACTTTTCCACTCCTCTCCCCTCCCCACCCCTGAATCCAGTGGAGCTTGAACCCAGGGCCTTGCACAACGCTAGATAAGTGCTGTACTATGGAGCTACATACCCACTCCTTAAATTTCTTTTTCTTTTCTTTTCTTTCTCTCATCTTTCTCTCTTTCTTTCTTTCTTTAGATAAGATCCTGCTAAGTTGACCAGGCTGGCCTAAAATATGCAGCCCTGCCTCACTCTCCGGGAGTATGATGGATTACAGGCATGTCCAGTCACATCTTTTGTCTTCACTTTTAACTGCCGCCCTTGTTTTCTTGGAACCTGGCTACTGAAAAAAAAAAAATCTTGTGAATACTGCCGTTATCAAAAAACTAAAAGGATTTGTTTAGAAAGTATTATGATTAATTAAGTAAATTCTGAGCTTTGATTATTAGGGAACTATTAGAAGATAAGCCTAGAAAGGTAAATTAGGGTCAAACTGTAGGAGGTGCCTTAGGTGAGTTTTAGAGTTTGAACCTTAGCCTTTGAGCACAGTAAAACCATTACTGTTCTGTTCCCCCATAGGTTCTTGTCAGACTGATCACTCTATCTCTAGAAGTGTGATCTAGAAGCTTTCCCAGGATGAACTGAAAGAAATTGAAGGCAAGAGAACCAGTATGGTGCCAGGGTTGGTAGTGCATGCCTAGAATCCCAGCACTTAGGAGGCTGTGGCAAGAGGATTTAGAAGTGGAAGTCAGCCTGGGCTACATAGCTATTTCAAGGCCAGCCATAGAGAGATTCATATAAAAAAAAAGTATGGTGGCTTTGGGAAGAATAAGACCTAAGAAAATGTAGACCTCTGGGGTGATGGCAGTGAAAAGAAGGGAATAGGCTAGAGAGATACCTACAAAAAGAGAACTGATGAGATTCAATTACTGATAAAGCTAAAGAAGAGAAAGGAGTTAATAAATCTGTGTATTTCCTCATCTATTGCAGTAAAGAAATTGGGATGGAGCACTCCTAATATCATTTCCAGTCCTAAAATTCCACTATTTTCTATCATTATCTTATCTGAAGATGAAAGGAAGAAATATTTTAATGGGGAAGTAATCTCAAAAAGAGTGAATTTAGTTTTAGATCTAAAGGCTAAAACCTTGAGCAATTATCTAGTGTAGCCTCCTCCCCTCTTGAAGAAGTTATCCTTCTCTTCATCTGACATGCTAGGAGATTGGCAGTTGGTCTAGGAACACCCAGCTAGTCATGGGAAAATAAAAGACCTCACTGTCCTGTGAACTAACTGCTCATGAAAGTATCAGTAGATGCACTAGAGATTTCTGGTAGACATCTAGATTAAAGAGATCAAAGTGAAAGATGATGATTTGAAGAGACATCTGAATGAGTTTCCATGCAGAGTAGCTTGTGAAAGGAAACTCTAGAATAAAGTGTATACAGAGATGGAAGACATGTTTAGATAAGCAATTATTGATTAATGCTGTGAGAGATCATTTGATCTACTGTCTACTAATCATTCTATGAGATAGTTACCCCTACTATACTGTTCACTGAAGAAAAGTTATACACACAAGTGGAGGAAACAAATAGGAATTAATCTTAACTTCCAGTTACAAATAATTGGACCTGTAGCCACTAGACATACTAAGACTCCTATGTCTCTCAACTCTAGCTGACAAAGATTGATAGGAGGAATAAACCAAGTGTCTTGACATAGTGAAAAGAGTTATTTAGGGTATATGTTGAGACAGGGTGATATACATATAGATTTTGGTGAATTCTGCTATTACCAAAATGAAATAGTTCTGCTTATGAAAATAATAACAACTATAAAATATTTACATAATACATTAAGAAACGAAAAAGGTAGAAATCATCCCTATGAATAACTTCTGTTCATATTATAAACGCTATATCATTTTTTCTATGACTATATAGATCAAGAAAAATAGGATTATACAACACACATGATTGTTTGTTTGTTTGTTTTGAGATGGTGTCTCATTATGTAGTGCAGACTGGCCTTCAACTCACTATATAGCCCAAGTTGGCCCAAACTCACATTGATCCTTCTGCCTCAGCTTCCCAAGTGCTGGAATTACAGGCGTGAGCCACTATGCCTGGAAATATACTTAATTTTTATACAGATGATTTTCAGTAACCTTTTTCATTTACGAATACTAATTTTTTCTATAAATATAGACCTATACCATCATTTCCAATCCCTATTGAATATTCCCTAGTGAAAATCCAAAGATGCTCTTCCTTGAAAAAGTGAAAATTCTGGGCCACTCATAAAGTATCATCAAAACTGAGTAAAGAAGCAGTGGGTAAAAGAGTAACATAAACTGTGTTATTCGAATATATCTAATCTGATGTCAACCTTCTTTTAAAATATTTAGTTTCTTTAAAACTACTCTCTTCCTTCCCAACAGCACCATTTTCCCCAGGGATCCATTTGCTTCCGGAGAAGCTGACTTCACTCAAACTATGAGGGTGATAAGTAACCTAATCTACCCAATCAGTATGTTTCATCTCTTGGACTTAATGGTTTAGTCAGAGTGGGCATTGACCTGAAGGTAATTCAACAGAATGGCTCTCCATACTTCTGCAGAGAATGTCAATATTTTCTTTCTTACTGGATAAGAGGAATGTACTGGCAACCATGTTGGGACCATGAGGAAGGCTAGTCTTACAATGATACAAGGGAAGGCACAACAGAGAAAAGGAAATAAATTGGATCCTTGATGCCATACTGAGTTGTGAGGTCAAGCACCTGAAACCACCTTATCAGTCTGGATTTTTTATTCGTGTGAACCAATCAATGTAAAAGAAAATACCAACAATGATTATCTCTGTGTGATAAGAACATGATCCCCCACCACCACCACAGTTATAAACAACTGTGGTACAGCTTTTTTACAGTAACTGGATTCATTTTTTTCTAGCTTTTCATTTGGGCTAGGTATATAGCTTTATTTAGGTATTCCTCCAAATTGTTGGCTTATTTTTATTATTATAAATTCTATAATTTAATAATTTAATTTCTGTTTTTACTATAAACCAAGGCCTGAAAATTATCTTTTCATTTAATATACACATACAGATATATGTATTTTCATAAACACCTAATAGGTCTTACTGTTTTTTCCCTTTCATTTGCTATTTGTCTTAGTCACTTTCCTTGTTGCTGAGACATAATACTGGACATCTGCAGTTGAACAGAGGCAAGGTTTATTTTAGCTCACAGTTCTTAGAGGATGCAGGCCATAGTCGGCTGGCTCCAAGGCAGAAAGGACAAGGTAGATCTGACAGAGAAAAGATGCTTACATCATGGCAGTTGGGAATCAGAAAGACAAGGGGGAGCCAGGGAGAGAAATGCCATTCCAGGTCACATCCTCCAATGACTCCCTCCTTCTCATCAGGCCCTGTCTCCAAACATGAGAATTTCGGAGG